TCCCAACACTGATACAGAATGTAAACAAACACAGGGTTGCAAGAAAAAAAAGTTGAACGAGCTCAAAGTTGGCTGGCGACCAACTTTGTTGAAAGCGATTAGTTGAAAGGCCGTTCGGACGAGGCGATTTTTGCTTCCAACTAAAAATTGCCTGTGAAATCGCTGCGTGCGAATGCCCTATTATAATTCTTACATAGGGCCGTTTGCACCAACTTACAAATGTAAATACGAACAGGCGAACAAAAGAGAATACAAAAAATTTATTGCTGTGAATTTTCAGAGCTATATATTTTTAGTATTCATTACAAAATTGTACTAAAAAGTACTGCGTGGTAGGAAAGGATATTGTAAATGAAATTGTATCAAACAAGTACAATTGTACCAAAAATGCCAACACTGTTCTGTATACACACTTTTTTTCTTTTTTACTTTTTAACTCTTATTTTATCTTTCAGCTTCGCTAAAAGCACTTCTACCAACGCTTGGCTTACCAAATTTACGCCAATTAATAAAATTTTGAGACTTAAACTCATTTTCAATAATGTAAATAACGATTCGTGTTGAATCGAAAATCGCCTCGTCTGAATAGGGATGGCAACTTTTTCACTTTCAACTTCTCATTCAACTTCGTATTCAACTTTTGTTGCCTGTAAAATCGCCGCGTGCGAATGCCCTATTAACGCTAACTGGAGGTACATCCTTCAGTTAAGCACATCGACTACTTTATCGATCACATGTTATAGGCTTGGTGCCGATAACGTCAATAACGATGTTTAACTGGGAGTTAGAATTAACTAGACGTGGTGCAAACGGTCCTTAAAGGATTCATAATTAGGTTCATTCCTTATCTTTTTGGACTAAAATCTGAAAAGTGTCAAAATGCCAGAGCGTAAGCAAAATGCGCTCACTAAAAGAGAATAACAGGAAAAGTAAAGGAACGCAAAAAACCAAATTTTTAGTCCAAAGAATGGCAACAACAAAACTAACGTCAAATAAGAACAGAAATGTATGTACAAAACACATTCACACAAGCACAAGCACAATAAACACTTGCTATATCAATTATTTTTTGCCTCCTTCCAATTTCAATTCATTTCTTTTACTTTTTAGATTATTCTCACTTTTTGCGTATTCTTTAATTTCCGTTAATTTAAATTCAGTTGAGTTTGACACTTTTCAGGATTTTGCCAGAAAAAATTCTTCTGACTAAATCTGACTACTTCGGACTGATGAGAGTCGCTCTCACTGACTTTTGCTCTCTCATTTTTGCTGTCATTTCCGAGTTAAGGAACGCTTTTTGGACTAAATCTGACTACTTCGGACTTTTTCTGACTATTTCTGGGAGATAAGGAACGCTCCTATTATTTGTGCGGCCGTGTATGTAGGTATATACAAACTATTACTACGTTTATACGCACGTTTTATTTGTAAATAACAATTTGCAAAATGGTAAACTTTGCCGTATAAACGCTGAGTTAATTTTTTATTTGCAAATAACAAAATCACGCAAATAAGTATTGATTAGTGGTATTATTTGCAAATAAGCGCAAGACGCTGCCATTCTTAGGTTTATTTTCTTTTTCGATGGTCATCTTATTGCCTTTTAATAATCAAGACGTTGCCATTTTTAACTTTATTTTCTTTTTCGATGGTCATATTATTGCCTTTTTATAATCAGGCAATATTAAAAAAGAATTTTTCACCATCGAATAAACAGTGAGTTAGGTATTTGCAAATTATTTTATTTGCAAATAGGTTACGTATAAACGCAGTATATGTTACACAATTTTTTTATATGTAACAAATAAGAAACACCTTCAACAAAAAAATTTTAAAAAATTAACAGTAAGCTCTGCGTACTTCAAAGTTCCACTTTATACTAAAATTGGGCGGGGTTTAGTAGTCAGCCGCACCAGGTGGAATTAACAAATGAAACTTGGTCAGGATGTTAAGGGAGGTATCCTCTAAAACATGTATAACTAAAAAATAACAAACAAGCGGTCGTCCGTCTTCAGGCAATGGCAAACCTCCGAGTGTATTTCTGCCATGAAAAACAGCTTCTCATTAAAATACAATCGCCGTTCGGAGTCGGCGTAAAACCGTAAGTCCCTCCGCTTTGTGTGACAATATCAAGACGCACGCCACAAGTCGGAGGAGAAGCTCTGCCAAACACTAACATATGTGTAAGCGCCAATCTATTATTATATTATTATTATTATTATTATTATTAAATTACATTGAATTGCATCCATATTTACAATAACACATTTTTGCAAACTAACACATGACATGTGTTGCCATATTGTATAAAACAATACATACAAAGAAGGCAATGCTTAATACGTGCAGAATACGAACATTTCTCTGATTGGAAAAATGTATATTGGGATCGATAGGGGTCTGTGTCCTGATCATAACCATAATCGACATCACTGGGGCGGCAGCCCCAGGTTTACCACACAGAAAGGGAATTCTAGTTACCTTATCCTTTCCCGAGGCTACATCACTGGGACGGTAGCCCCAGTTGGTGCACACCAAAAGGAAAAGTCTATTTGGTAAAGGTTATAATCCTAAAGCGCGGCCGAAGGCCGCCTTACGCAGAAAGAAGAATTCTAGTAAGTGAAAATTCCGAATTAAAAATCCGCTTTTATTATTCAAAATTCCCGTCTGGCAGCACCAAGTTTGTGTCACGTTAGCGTGTTATTTAATAAAATTCAAACCGTTTAAAATAAGTCTTTTATTTTATTATTTCCATCTATCAGCTCAAACGTACAATGTTCCTCTTACTTCAGCTATCTATCTAATGGCCGGTGAACAAAAATATCTTAAACGTAATGGCGGTGCATCAGTGTTGCCACAGTGTCATGATTAATATATTTAAGTCCCCGTTGACACACATTACACGCTTTTTTTATGCTTAATTGTAGTTTGGACTGGCAACCACTCTTGACCGTTACTTGGATTAGCAGCCATACTTTTGCGGTGGTCTTACAGAACGACCAGAGCGTGTTCTATAATGGCCTCTAACTGCAGGTTCCGGGATTGCCCCAGACTCACTACCCATGTTTGCATCTGACTCATCACTTTCAGCAGTTTCATAGTCCGATGGGGAGTTATGATGGCCCTCGTTTTCATGCTCTACAGAAAGTTTAGGTTCATCCGCAATTACAGTATTTATGGGGTTTGTATTGGCTGTATCTTGGTTATTATTATAATTCTGATCATTATAATTATTATTTTGGTTAATACAATTCTGATTATTACAATTATTGCTCTGGTTATTCACTAAATTATCTGGTACGATTTGAGTCTCTGGCAGATTATTCCTGCAACCCACTTTAATATTTTCTTCAAGAAAGAAATCACTAGCATTAAAATCGTCATTATTTGTTTTAACAATTAATCTGCGATTACGCCTAAAATAATTATCAAATGAATCCTTAATGATATACGAGCAGTCGTTAACTGTCCCAGTAATTTTTCCGTAATGCCATTCCTTTCCATTCTTTTTAAAGATTACTAAGTCACCCGTACTCAATTTTGGCAATGACTTTGCGTTTCGATCATAGTAATACTTCTGCTGTTCTTTTTTCCTATTAATTTTATTTTGATTGATCTCTTCTTTCACGTTGTTTCTGATAAGCATCTTTTCCGATACTGGCAATTTCGTTTTAATTAGTCTACAAAAGAACAACTCTGATGGAGTGAGCCTCATACTTGCAACAGGCGTAGTATTGTATTCCATGATTCTATACTGAAAGTGATCGACTTCATTGGTCTCATAGCAACGTTTTAAAATATTTTTGGCGATAGCGACTCCTTTCTCAGCCATTCCATTACTCTGAGGGTATCTTGGACTCGAATATTTAAACTGAACATTGAATTCACGCGAAAACTTTTCAAACTCCGCAGAGTTGAAAGGGACATTATCACTCTTGATGTTCGTAGGATACCCGATTAAGTTAAAAATTGAGCAAAAAACATTAATAATATGTCCGGACGTTTTATTGCTGACTCTTGTTGCAACCAAATAATTCGAGTAATAATCATAAATCGCGATGTAATCACGACCGGCATATTCAAATAAATCCGCTGAAGCAATATGGTATGGGTATTTTGGATTAGACTCTTGGGTCAAGGGATCTTTTTGATTATTCCGTTTGAAGTGTTCACAAATTTTGCACGACGCAATCAATTCCTTTAACTGTGTGCTCCTTCCCGGCCAAAAATAAAGCATTCTTGCTCTCTCCAGTGTTTTCTCAATTCCAAAAAGTGGCGCATGCAACCACTTTGCCTTTTTTTTTTGCATTTTTGTTGGAATAACCAGTCGATGGTTCTTGAACAATAGCCCGTTTTCAAAATGCAATTCTGATGTAATTTTATTGAAAATCCGGCAAAAGTCATTTAGATGTAGATACGCTGGCCAACCCTTTCTCACATATTCACACACTCGTTTGAGATTTTCATCTGATTCTAATATTTGTTTATAATAGTCATGGTTTTCCTTTGAGACACACACTGATTTTGTTACTGAGTGAATAACGGTACTCAACTCCGGTTGTTCCGAGCCCATGTCCAATGATGCACGGGATAAGCAATCGGCTAGCAACATTTCCTTGCCTGGTTTATAAAAAATTTTCATCTGTGGGTATTTTATTTTATTTTTGAGTGAAACTTCTTAGGCGGCGGTATCGCAAAAATGGAGAGTGAAATTTTTAAAACTGAAAACGTTTCATGAGTGAGAAGGAAGATATAGGTAGTATAGGGAAGGGGAAAAAAGAAATAAAGCGACGCATGACGGGTACGAGTACCTATATACATATGTATGTATGAACGAACTCATTTGGCATTTCAGCGCTGCCGCTACCAAGCAATATACATATGTATAAATGATGCAAGCGTGCTTCGCGTAACTACATCCATTCGTACATATGTACATATGTTTGTATGGATATATTTATGATGAAGCAAACGGGCTTCGTTGATGTACTGATGGGCATATGTATGTACGTATGGACAGCAATGTTTTCATGTATGTACATATGTTTGAATGGTTGTATATATATTTGTATGTATGTACATATGTTTGTGTATGTACATATGTTTGTGTACATGTATATATGCACATATGTAGTACAAACGAAAACAAATCTAATAAGCTGCTCGTTGATATAAATGGTCGCGTTCATAAGACGTAGCTGTTTAGCTCATCTGCTACGAAACTGCTGGCAAATGTTGAACCCAACAATTATGTCTTAGAAACGGCTTGATGAATATGCTGCCAAATGAACAGCTGATAAATGTAAACTAACACCCGATTTACATGATTCAAGTACTTGAAAGCAATTCTTGCTCATTCTCTTTTGTGTTTTCTATTTGCTTTTACACGTTTCAATTCTGTTGAATTCAAGTTTTTGGTTCTTTAAATGGGAAGCAACGAAAATACCAAAAGCAAAGCAAGAAAATTTAAACGACTTGACGGTAAAGACGCATGTGTGCTCGTCCCTTTTCTTCTCACCCCCTCTCTTCCACATGCGAGCAGAATTGAATTCAATACTTGAACTGTAAAATCAGTCAAATCAAATTGCAACAAATAGAGATAGTTGCGCCGATACTATTTACAATTCAACGCTGAGCGGCCGCCGTGTTGAAAAAATCGTTCAATGTTACAATGAATTAAACAGTGTAAAATTATATAGCAAACATCTTAAAAACATATATTTAGAAACGTAGTATTATTATAAAATATTTTAGTTACTTTATCACGTCAGTAATATAAAATATAATAAATTTGTTTGCAACTGCCACCTAACAAAGCGGCGTTAAATTTAATATAATCGGCGTAAGTCTTTTCGATCAGCTGTTTAGGCTAAGTCCAACACGTTGAGTTCAGGTAGCTTAAAAATTTTCCGCTGGAAAAAATGGCGAAAAGTTGCCAACTGTTGGGCTGAGCGTAACTACTCAACTGTGCGTTTCTAAGACAAATAGCCAACGGTTGGGCAACAGCTACGTCTCATAAACGCGCCCAATGCGAACTGTACCGATTGTCAAAAATTAAGTGTTTGTTGTACATTTGTTCATGTTTGTCATTGTGCGTGTAATTTTCTAGAGTAGTTTTGTGCTTTCACCAACTCCTTGTATTAACTCGTCCTTCGTTGGTATACTCTGATGAACATATGTGAGGATGATAGCAAGGCCAACTTATATAAGGTAGTGTTACAGGAGCAGTTGAAATTTTCGCCCGATGTTTCTTAAAGAAAGCCATAAACGTAGCGACCGTTGGTTCAACTTGGTGTTATTTTGCTCTAGATTGTGCCGTTTGTGGGCCTGTTGAATGAATTTATGTCTTGGTTGTATGAAAGATCAAAAAATTTGGATTTTCTGGCAAGTGGTACAACTTATCGCTACATTAATGGCCATGTAATACAAACTCAAACCGAAAATGGATAACTCAGCCGAAATTGGTACGTGCTTCCGTTGAATTTTATAAATGTAATCCGAAACTATGAAATTGGAAAAATGAGATTTTACAATGAGACTGCTCGCAAAATTGCAATGTTTGTGGGCAAAACGTCCAACTTGATTGCGGATTGATTTGAACCAACGTTTTCGGCTTGCATTATGTCAAAAGGATGTGTTTGTTGTAATTCATTCTGTCATTTACTACCATTATGCGTAGGCCAATTTATGAAATCATTTCATGCGTTTGAGTAGAAACTGAATGAATGAACACCATTTCATGATTTCAATTAACGCGAAATAGAGTTTATGCACTTAGTTTTTACTCAGATCGATGAAATGATTTCGTGAATTGGACTACGCATACATGTGATACTTATGCTTTTAATTTATAAGGTAATTTTATGTTTTTATACTCTTGCTACCACATGAATATATGAATTCGTGATAAGAATATATGAATTCGCCTTGGAAGATAGAAAGCGAGTAAGAATAAATGCCGAACAAAGGAATTTGTCTTCTTTCAACTTAAATAAATGCATTTTGCAAACAAAAGTGCGTACGTTACTTAGTGCCTTGGTTATGGCGAATTCGTAAGGATCTATTGATTGCATTATAAACATTTTCATTTATTTGTTAAACATACAATTACTTCCATTACAACCCGATCCAATGGATGCTAGAAGCGCGAATTCATATAAGGTGGTGTTACCGGAAAATGAATAAATAAATTATATGTATATCATACAATTAATAAGATGAAATGAAATAATTCTTTGATTTCTAACCAAACCTATGTATGTAACTCAATCGCCTAATAGTTTGCCGAACCGTAAACATATGTTTACACATCCAATTTCATGAGTAGGTACCTGGTACTCACACCTTTTTTAAGAAGTTTAACTTCTATCATGTGTAAGTTGTTACACACGCGTTTTTTTATTTTATTTATTTAGTATAATCTAGAAATGCAAGATTTCATACAGACTATTAGATACATATAAATAACTACATAAACACTTCATTTAATAATAACTTAAAGTTAGATTTCGTTAACGAAAAGTCAATCGTACAAGAGTTTGAGAGCAAGTTAAATTATTGCATAGCCCTTAGAATGGGAGAGTTAGAAGCATAAGTAGTTCTTACTCGTTCCAGAAATAAAGATATCATGATTTCGAAGGCTCCTAACGGGAATATTGAAGTGAATACGCTCAAGTAGATAAGGAGAATCAATCGCACCGCTTATTATATCAAATATAAATGTGAGCGAGAGAATAATTCGCCTACTATTTAACGATTTAAGGTTTATGAGAAGTCGTCTAGAACTATACGGGGGAATCGGATCTGCAAAATTTAGAGATTGGAGAGCAAAGCGTACAAAATTTTTCTGAACTCTCTCAAGTCTTTTGATATGGCAATCATGGTACGGTCTCCAGATGAAAACAGCATATTGAAGTTTCGATCGTACGAGAGAATTATATAGTAATTTCAGGGTATACGGATCTGAGAAATCAGAACTAAACCGACGAATGAAAGCAAGCATAGAATAAGATTTTGTTATAGTGTAGCTTATGCGGCTTTGAAACAGAAATTTTGAATCAAAAACCACACCCAGATCAGAGACTTCCTCTAGGGTCTTTAAACGGTACTTACCTATGTGATAAGAGGTAGAAATAAGAGAACGAGCGAGTAGAGTTAGAGTAAGAGATATGAAAGCACTTATTTATGTTAAAATTAAGATGGTTTTTATTACACCATTCAGCAACATTGGGTGCGTTCAGAAATGCATCAAGCCAAAGCATCAGTATATTTTATTTCTAAACTATAAGTGATGGAAATGTCTTATTTACGCAGCTAAGTTCCAATTAGGCTTTTAACCGCGGTTGCGCATATTTGACATTTTTATCAATTACAGTTTAGAAATAAAAGAGGCTGATGCTTTGGCTTGATGCATTTCTGAACGCACCCATTATTAATATCAGATTGCAGCAAATCTACATCTAACTGACTTGTTATAGTAGCGAAAATTTTTAAGTCATCCGCATATAAAAGAAATTTCGAGTGCGTAAAGCAATTGCAAATGTCATCAATAAATAAAACAAAGAGCAGGGGGCCTATTATGCTTCCCTGGGGCACTCGAGAGGAGGCGATAAACGACCTAGAGGAAACGTTATCAACTAAAATTACACACTTACGCGCCGAAAGGTAGGATTTTACCCAAGAGAGAAAAACAGAATGGAAACCGAGACTGGCTAATTTAGCAATTAAAAGAGAATGACTAACTTTATCAAAAGCTTTTGAAAGGTCAGTATAGATGGTATCAACTTGAGTACGTTTATTGAAAGCAGACAGACAGAAGTCGGAAAAAACAGC